GCCAAAAATATATCCTAGTTACGAAAAACAATACAACTAACATCAAACAAAGAATATAAGTGTCAACCAATACACAGTCCTTCTTAGAATTCACTCGACAATCTTGTTCTTGCAACCACTCCATCAACAAAACAGTTACTTAACGACAAGAACAGAAAACAGACATCTAAGATGAAAACCCTTAGAAATAAATAATAGCAATATAGTTCCCAGTTCTCAGTAAAGGAGACTCGATATATTTTTTCTTGGTTAAACTTATATTTTCTCGGCCCTCCATTAAGGGATGCTCAAGTGGACACCAGATCGCCGTTCGTCTAAAAAAGTTTTACTTTGAACGCCGATCATTATAAGCTCCGATGAACAAACTTCACCCTTTTGCAAAGATGTTATATAAAAAGGGACTTATGTAATCGAAAATATAGATAGATCTATCATACATTTCATATTGGGTCGAGTAGTTATGTTTGAGAGAGAATTTGAAATAAAGTTATTCTGTATCTAAATGACTATTAATTTTACAATGAAAAGGGTTTACAGTATAATAGAATTCATTATGTTTCTCGGCTTACTCACGTATTAACTCGACTAGTTTCAAGCCATGCTTTTTTTTTTTTTTTTTGAGGGGGGAAAATCATCCAATGACTTCTCCCGCCCGGGTGAGGCGGGAGGGAGTGTCAGACTCTTACTGACTAAAAACCACCCCGTTCCTACTCCTGCACTTCGAGCCGGAGCCCCGGCAACCCGTTAAGTCTTCCGCGGCTCCGTATCGGCATCAGCCCTGTTAGGCCCCATCCGTGGTGGTCTGATGGCTCCTTGAGGCGCGCGCGGTACGCGACGCGCCGTACGCTCGGGCCTGGTTCTGGTCAGGCGGCGAGTCACCCGTGCTCGCCGTCCGCAGGCCCGTGCTTACGGTGGCCGGAGATCGTCTCGCGATCCCCGATGCCCGGAGTGTCTCTCGCGACGGCCGGGTCGAGAGGCTCATATTACCCGCGACCCGCAACGCAGCGACTGTCGCGCTACTGATTACCAGTGCGACAATCACGTCAAATAATTATGTGAGTAAGCCGGAAAACATAATAATTAAATTAGTATGTCTCACGAAAGTTATAACACTACAATAGAATATTGCAGATTGCTGATGATAATAGTTGTACAAAGGAACTTATACAAATACCTTTTTTTTATTTTTTTTTTATAACATCATGCCTTTTATCTCCGAAGGGGGAGGATTTATGTAGGCAGAGGTGCACATTATGCCACTGTACAATGTAACACCCACTTTTCACCATTTATGTTATGAGTCCCATGTAATAGGGGGTGAGCCTATTGCTATATAACCGGGCACGATTCCAGACTCCGTGCTGCTACTATGATTTTACTTGCGTACATAATCTTAAAACTATCCCAATGTGATTATCCCAAACTAGAGAACAC